GCTTCAAGTTCTCTGTGTCTAAGATGGTGCTATGACTTTTACTCGGAAGCATGTCGTTCTTCGTCCCTCTTTGTCGCTTTATGCTCATCCCATTGTGTACAGGGATTCCACAAAGCTTTTGGGGTTAGTCTTTGACACTCGTTTGTCTTGATCAGCTCATATCTCTTACCTCCGAGTTGAATGCTCTAAGGCCCTTAACCTCCCTAAGGTTTTGTCCCATACTTCTTGGGGAGCAGATAGACGCACGCTCCTATATTTGCACTCCTCTCTCGTCCTGTCTAAACTCGATTATGGTTGCCCTGCATACATAACTTACTTTCTGCTTCTCCTCCTACTCTTCGCCGTCTTGATGCTTTGCACCATACTGGGTTCCGTCTCGGCTCTGGTTGATACCTGGTTGATGGGGTTCTGGGAGTTCTACTCCCCAAGCCCGGACCGAGGCCAGGCTTGGGGAGTGGTCACTGCTGTTCAGCTTGTGGCCACAGCATCACCTAAAAATGCCATAATATACTTGTTCATGCTATTATGTAGCGATGATATTATTAAAGAAGACCCCTGACTGTGATAAAACTGACCAGGGTTCTGATAATAGCAGGATTGTGGTGATATTTAGTGCTGTGCTCCATGGAGGGAGGAGTAATGCTGTGGGAGGGAGGGTGGTGGCATTGTCTTCTGACTGTGTGTGGCCACCTTTTATTGACTGCACTCACCATACCAGCTTAGTGGTTTGCTATGGTGAACACAAATGTAGATACTTATATATAAAGTGTGTATAGAGGGTATAAACAGCAATAGGAGTAGGTTGGGAGCCGCCATTTTGGTGAGGGAGGTGGCATCGTCTGCAGGACCTTTTTTTTTTTTTTGAGATATACACAAGAGTTGTTACATTCTTGTACAGCCACTAGTACGCGAAGCGTTTCGGGCAGGTCCCTGGAATACGATCCCCGCCGCGAAGAATCGTTGTTACAACCAAGTACACATTTTACTGTTGCGTTAAACAGAGGCTACAGTTAAGGATTTGCGCCCAGTAAATCCTCCCCGGCCAGGATACGAACCCATGACAAAGCGCTCGCGGAACGCCAGGCGAGTGTCTTACCACTACACGAAAGAGACTGGTTGTACATACTTGTACAAGTATGGTGAATAAAACAGGTAGATACTTATACATAATGTGCGTATATAGCGTAATAACACCACAAACAGTATTGATGGAGGAGAAATATTAGTGTATTTGGCCTTGAGGGCGGCCGCCACCAGCTGACTGTGTGAGTAGCTATGTCTTTGTGTCTTTACTCACCATACAAGCTTAGATGTACAGTTATGGTGAACAAAACATGTAAATACTTACATATAACATCTGTATATAAAAGCAAAAACAGTATGGTGGGAGGAGAATGGTGGCAAGTCAGGTGAGGTGAGGGAGGGAGGGAGTGGCAGCCAGTGGCGGGCTGCCACTGGCTGCCATTGCCACTGCCACTCAGCATACCAACTTAGTGGTTCGTTATGGTGAACACGAATGTAGATACTTATATATAGCATCTGTATATAGGGAATAAAAGCAAAAACAGTATTGTGGGAGGAGAATGTGGGTGAGTCAGGTGACTTGAGGGAGGGAGGAAGTAGCAGCCAGTGGCAGGCTGCCACTGGCACTGCCACTCAGCATGCCAACTTAGTGGTTCGTTATGGTGAACACGAATGTAGATACTTATATATAACGTCTGTATATAGTGAATAAAAGCAAAAACAGTATGGTGGGAGAAGAATGTGGGCGAGTGAGGTGTTGAGGGATTGAGTGGCTGGCTGGTGTGTGGCGGTCACTCCTCGTTACTTTTTGACTCATAATAGTAACTTAGTGGTTCGTTATGGTGAGCAAAACGTACAGATACTTATATATAACCAGTGTATATAGTGTAATAACCGACAAAGTATTTGTTCACTGTTTGATGAACGTAAATGAATCAACAATATGCACACCATATTTTTGAGTACAGCGATGATTCACTCATTTTATTATATAAATATATCACACTACACACTACTGAATAATATTACAGCCAAAAAAACTACAAAAAATCAGAGACATTGAAGTAATTAGGTAATTATCTCTTTGTGGCAACTCCGGCCTGACAGCTGGCGAGCAACAGACCATCTGGGATGCATGCAGAGTCAGCGCCTGTTTTTTGCCAGACTTCCCCGCCCTATAGCGGGCATTATATGCCACTTACGATTTTTTTATTAGTTTTCCCATGATCAGTGAACACAAATTAACAGGTTTAGAAGAAAAAATATTTTTTTTTTTTTTTTGGTATGCGCCTGCGAGTGACATGCTAAATAGCCAGGCGCCATAAAAAGGGTTAAGATAACTATCAATTCTAGTAATACTTCAGCAAGATGAAGGGTAACAAATTAACTTAGCTGGGAACAAAGGCAGGAGAAGTTAAGCCAGAAGTAAATCAATCACCAGAATGAAATAAATAACTCGGTAAATACCACAACCGAATTTTTTAGCTCGCAAAAAAAAATTGGATAAACGGTAATGAAATGAATTAATACTAATAATACAATATAAAATAAAATTTTCCAAATATAACGCCAATGTGTCATATAATAGTAAGATAAAATGGGCAACTAGTAATGCCAAGCTGTGATAATAATGTATGCTCATAATAAATAATGCAGAACAATAACTGTAATAATAAGAATTAATATTAATGGTTGGTTGGGTGGGGTCCAACAATTGGGTCCTACACAAGGACCCAATACCGAATGATAATTGAGCTTAAATTAATATATAGTAATATTATGAATAATAAAACATCAAAAGCAAATAGGAACATGAAGAGTAATAAAGTAGCTAAATTAAGCCAAGGGGCCAAAGACCATTGTGCTAAGTAAGCTTAATAACAATATTAGTATCAGTAATCCAGTAGAAATAGCGATAATAATAATTAATAGCATAGGGTGTGTAGAGGTAAGTCAACGATACATCCGGTACCGAATAATAAATGAACTTAAATTAGTATTTAATAATATGCAAATTAATAACATTAATAGCAATTAGGCAAGGACCCAATGCCAAATGATTATTGAGCATAACATCAATAAATAACATCAGTAGCAAATAGTAACATGAAGAGTATTAACATAGCCAGATAAACCAAGGAACCAAAGACCATATACTAAGTGAGCTTAATAACAATATATATATATAGTATCAGAAAACTAGTAATAATAACAATAATAGCAGAGGAGGGTGTAGAAGTAAGCCAACTATAAACCCAATACTGAATAGAAATGAACTTAAATATATAATATAATGCAATATTAATAAAATTATTAGCAAATAGTAACTTACAAGAGCAATAAAGTGCCCAGAATATACCAAGGAACCAAACCCGTAGTGTTAAAATAAATGTAGACAATCTGTAATATTAGTAAAGGAGGGCCTGGGGACTGGCGGGCCCGCAAAAGGCAGCACGGCAGGCCCACCTAAGGGCATGGTACGGACTGGCTCTGCGAAGGCACTGAGCTGACGGGCCCAGCCAAGAGCACAGCACATTGTGCCCAGCTAGGAAAGAGGCAACCGGCCCAGGAAAGGGCAGACACTGACATGCCCTGCTAAAGGACAAGACGCGAGAGGGCCTAGAGACTGGCCAGCCCAGCGAAGGGCAAGGAAATGCTAAGGAAATGACATGTCATTTCCATGAATTTCCAATGAATTCATTTCCAATGAATTTCCATGGAAATTTCCATGTCAAGGAAATGACATGCCCTGCTACACCGTCCCTTCGGGTCCCCTTTCCCCCTGGGAAGGGGGAAGTTGCGCAGACAGCGGCGCAGCGACTGTGGTGACTGTCATGTTTGTTTGCTCGTTTTCAATTGGGCGAGTTCTGCTTGCTAGTTCGGCTTTAGGTTTGCAATTTTTAACCAGCTGTAGTTTATTTTGGAAATCCTACCTTACTGGGTGCCTGACCTGGTAGATGGCAAACATAGACTGCTTCCAATTACACGGGGGTATCTATAGGCCATTGCTGCTCATGCCTCTCTGAGGGGGGCCAAGTTCTGGCGCTGGTCCCCTGGCAGAACTCCATAGATTTACTGTTGCCAGTCTAATATATACACATCAGCCCGGTATAGCTCCGGGAGCCAAAGGGGCTCTCCACAGATATGTACATTTTTACAAACTTCCCAAGTGAACATTGTACATACTTGCATTGGAACACAAGTGTTAAAGTTCAACCCATCCTCCTGTTTAGATAATACTTATTGTGATGTCAATAGCCATGAATTCGTATGCGACTAATGACAATAGACTACATAGACACGTAGTCAGTAGACTATGTGAATACGTACTTTTAGACACTAGTATACTGACTAGTAAGGATTTCTTTTAAAATAAAGCTAAAAAACACTTAAATATTCCTGGGCCTAGCGTAGCACACACACATGTACTATATTAGGCCTCAGATATTGTGTATTAGGCCTAGGAAGGTTAGGTTGTTAGTTTAATTTGTCAAAGCAACTCAAGTAAAAAGTTTTCAATGTGCAGATGAGTCACAATAACGTGGCTGAAAAAATGTTGACCAAACAACACACTAAAAAGTGAAGAGACAACGACGTTTCGGACTGTCCTGGACCATTATCAAGTCAATTGAGTTTTTCTAGTTTTCCAGTTTGTTCCAAACTAGTTTTTCAGTTTGTCCACCTCAATACTTCAGATTTCTACTTTTTAATTTTTGTTGTTTGTCGGTATATATACTATGGTCCTCGTCATTACTTTAAGTACTATCAAAACTGAAGGATAGGCTGTAAAGTTATATACATGTCTCCTTTTCATATTCAAGATAAATAATAATTTACCATTTTCTGAAGTTTCTGGGAAACATATTTATGCCCTTTATACTTGATGAAATAAATCACTGTGTATACTAACTCCTTACAGACCTGAAAATTTTTTCTTTCAAGAATCAAGCTGAAGGTATGTACAGAAAAACAAATACTTTCTTTAGCTTTTTATTATTGTAGATTTTACACAAAACGTGTAATACACTGTAGTTGGTAAACACTGAAACAACTAAGAAACCATGTGAGCAGACGTATATTTATAAAATAATGTATTTAAAGTACGTGTAAGATCATGTCACAGTGGTTCCTAGTTATCACTGTGATTATTATTGCCTGTAACAATAAATAATGTTGCCCTAGGATAATTACAGATAAGATCAAAACTTTGACAAATGCTATCTACTTACAACAAACACAATTGCAATTCTCATATAAACAAAGCACATACAAATTTTTGTAGTCATACACTGAGAGGAGCACTGGTGTGAAAAATGGGCCTTTGCAGATTAGCAATGCCCTTCAACCAATGAATTTAAAGCAGGTAATCACCTTCACCCACTTTTTAAATAAACTTTAATATGAATTTAAATATTACAGGATGTTTTTTACAGAACCAAATGTTGGAGCACACAAAAGGCATTATACACATCACAAACCATTCAAGGAAGATCAGTAGTTTTAATTTACATTAGCATAGAAAAAGCAGTATTTTTGTAATAAAATATTGAGAATATATTTACAACAAAAACTCTGCTTATGAAGCAGCAGCTTTCTGGCTTTAAGAAAGTTGGCTCGGCTACAGCAGTTAGGACTAGATTCCATAATTACACTATGAGACATGGAGACCCGGATTCTAGAATATTAGGTCAGATCAGCTTTTAATATACTGTACAGTATTATATCACTTCGATACTGATGGGCCATCACATTTTGACTGGCTAGTCACCATATCTACTTCCTATGTCTAAGCAGATCTACCTAGACATTCTGAAATACAGGTCCACAGGGTGAGACAGATCACTGGAAGAACAACAAACTGAAGAGGAGGCACTATCGGCGGCAGTGTTTGGGGAAAATTTAATACCATAGGGTTTCTTATAGTTCACAAATGTTAAGTTACAGGCAAAGTACCAGTTTTTTTTTTTTTTGCGAGCTATTAATAGATCCGAGCCTTATGAAGAGTAATTAAGACTCTAGCAGATATTGTCAACAAGCTTGCACTGAATCAAACTTGTTTTGCTTTCTGGCCTTTGACCTGCTCCTCCTCTATAGCACCTGCAGATATTTTGTCTAACCTGCCACGTAAACCACGCTGTCCAGAAGCTGTGACTAGCATTCAAAACAGACAACACTTCCATAGGAACTGTTGAGATCATACGAGTACCAGTCACTGCCCCTAGATTCAAACATTTGTGCAGAGCAAAGTCCTTAACAGTATCAATACTGGCAGGACTAGGGTTTAATAATGGTCTCCATTTAAAGAAAAAATTAAATTTGCTTTACGTATCGCCAGGATACATAGTATGATCTATGTAGTTCGTAAGTCATATCACTAGACACTCTCATCTTGGGTCCACTTTTCAAAATAGTTAACTTGGAAATGAAAATGATGGTTCACATGAAACACTGTACCTTGCTGTGACTTCACTCTGTCACTGATAAGCTGAACCGAGGGCCTGATGATAGGTGGTTTACCCTCTTTACGTTGATAGTGTGCGAGGTTTCACCCCTCCCCCTTTCCCGAGATTAAATGAGCAGGATTTACAGGTCAGATTCACCATAAAGGGAAGTGGAGAAGGACATGTAGTCAAGAGCCTCAGGAGGAGCACCAGAACCAGTGAAAGGCTGCATGCGCTGGATACAGTACTCGGCCTGGTCAGGGGGAAGTTCACGCTGCAGCTCTTCTGGCAGGATGTATGGCTGCACACACAAAATTAAGTGATAAGTAAAACCAGAAGAATACATTATTACCTGTCATAATACATTATTATATATCATAAAATGATAAATTAAGTCCTCATTTAGTAAAATTAACCAGCACTTTGTTTAGCAATGCTACTTTTAATAAACTAATATAATGTATTGTTTCCTCATTCTAACTTTCTATAAGACAGCAAAGAAAATACTATTTATGCTTTTTAGGGGGCCCTGGAGCTCAAAAATATTCATCCAAATATGAAATATAGTGAAAAATGTTAAATAAATTTTACGTTATTTGTCATCACAGTCGTGAAAATGTCGTCTTATTATGTTAAGAAATGGATTTTATGCAAATTGTTTTAATAATAAATCTGTGAAAGGCGGGTACCGATAATAACACCACCACCTATTTACTGGAACTCAGGAATAATGCAGGCATAAAGAGATGCAAGCACCTGTCTGACACAAAAAACAGAATAGTAGTAGTAAGGAGGGTCCATAAAGTGAATATGCAGCCGGTGCCTTCTAGGATTGCCGATTGTCACCTGGAGTGCCAAATTTCACAAATAATAATGAGTATTCTCATTTGATTTTGTTGTGGCTTCTACATCTTTGAGAATGCATACCCTTCTCTAAGGATGTGAAGTTGGAATGAAATTGGTCCACATGGGAGTCAGCCACAGGGGGCAGAACGTGTGACTTTCTCAGTTTACTATGCGAACTATTTACAGATTTCAAACTATTCTCTTTGTCTCTTTACACTGTTTTGCTGAATGGGGACCATTTTAAAGCCTTATCACTTATATGGGCAATAAAGTTACTAAAATATATGTTTGTTATCCCTAACCCATTATCCCTATTTTGTTTTTTGTGGGGGTTATTTTTCTTGACTTCATTTCAACATATATTGACCTACAACTTATACATATTAGAGTACATATACCAAGCAATATTTATAAAACTTACAAGATATGTCATTAATTTGAACTACTGTATTTATAATCGAGAACTTTAACTTAATGTTTCTGTATGAACAGAATTTTCAACTTCGAGACTTAAGAGACTTTCAACTTAAGTAAAAAATTAAGTTTCCGAGCGATTCTCACCATTTTTACACATTACTGTATGTGCAAAGTTCTTAGTTCTAAGGTGTCATTGCTCTCGTTTATTCTTAAACCCACAACTTTTGGAGTTAGAAATTTTTGCGTCTAAATTTTGCACATATTTCGAAGGCCACATTGACTTTTTTTTTTTTTTTTTTTGCATTAAACTATACTCAAACACTATTTTACTGCAATGAAAGTGAATTTTATATGCTATTCTGAGACAATAATGAATAAAAAAATATTGGTGACATTTTAAATTTGATACTCTAATTTGAAATTGTGAAATTGTAAAAAATTAAAAAAAAATATTCTGTTCATGTTATGATGTTTATCAATTAGGTAAAGTTGGAGCATTTGTGTAGATTATGCACAATAAATTTGATTGTCTGAGAAAGGCTGAGAAATTGTGCACCAGCCCCCTTAAGTCAAATTCGTACCATGGTACCAGCAATCCACAACCGATAACTGTTAACTTATGATAATTACACATTTCCTAGACATACGCCATTACTTTTAGATTTCCATATTACATAACTATTATAATTACAACAAGCAATATGGTCAAACTTATTCCCATTAATTCCCAACTAACATTACTTAGCTTTTACACAAATGTTTCTACTCAGTTTTACTATAACAAGCCTTCACTATCAATAAGCTTGATATTGACTAGTTAACCAGTAGATACTGACAACAAAACATACTACTGTAGTAATTGCAAAATAGTCATGGATAATCACAATAAAATAGCTAATATTTAGTTCCAGTGGACACTAACTTTTGAACATTACTGAAAACATCAAATATTCCATCATCACTACTACATCTTACCTTGTCTCCAGCAAGAATCCTGAAGGAGTCAATGACTTGTTCAGCTGTGTCTGAATCCACATTCTCACGGGTCATGAAGTCCAAGAAGGCATCAAATTGAATGAAACCAGTGCTGTTAGGATCGACAATGCTAATGATGCGCTGGAAGTCGATCTCACCTTGACGGTCCTTACCAATGGAGTATCCCAGAGATATCAAGCAAGATTTGAATTCATCTGGAGCCAATCGGCCACCCCTAGGAAAGAGACCCAGCCAATTATTTTCAAATTATGAAAGAAAATCCTACATATTTTACTGAACTTTAAAAAAAAATTTACTGCAAAAAAACATTGTTGAATGCAATGAAACGCCATTTTCTGGGCAAGCCCCAGAGGCTCCCTGGAGCTATCGTGCTAATATGCGATATATTAGACTTAGTCAATGGAGTGCAGCCTACAGGGGACCACGAGCCAGAACCTCGCCCCATCCCCCTCCTCAGAGAGGCACAGGCAGCAATGGCCCTGGAAAACCCCTCTGTGGTTGGAGGTTTTATTTTTCTGTCATTGACCGGGGTTAGGAACCCAGAAAGGTAGGCATAACAAAACAGACCCCACATGGTAAGAAAATTGCAGCCGAAAACCGAACAGAGAAGCAGACCTCCCCCAAATCCCAAGGAAACAAACATCACACACCGCCGCTGCCGCGCTGCTCGTCTGCACCAGCTACCCAACCTCAGTTTAGAGGCTAAGCATCAAAAACAAAAGAAAACTGCTGACAGGAGGGAGGGAGGGTGCCAGGGAGCCTCTGGGGATCACCCAAAAAATGTCGTCTCATTACATTCAACGCTGGTTTTATGTGGGGGAGCCCCTTCGGCTCCCTGGAGGGAGGGAGGGAACTATCAGGAGAAACAGCCAAGCCATTGCGACTATATAGCACTGGGAAGGGGTCAGGATAAGGATTTGGGATGGGATGAGGGGGGGTGGGGAAGGAATGGTACCCAACCACTTGTGGACGGTTGGGGATTGAACGCCGACCTGCATGAAGCAAGACCGTCGCTCTACCATCCACCCCAAGTGGTTGGGCTCGGCTCCCTCGGGCTATCTAACCAAAGATAAGTAAAGAGGACTAAGCCAGGAGGCGACAGCCATGAGCTCCTCAACTCGAAGTCGAAACAACTGGCTGCAACCTGCGACCCAAAGGCACACAAATGCCTAGAACCAGGAATGTTTATCAAATAATGGGCAGCCAGGACCCTGCTCAACCTCCAAAATGATGCGCCCAAATGTCAGCCCAAGACATGCTGCCAAAAATGGCAGCCAAAGCAGCAAACTTACGAATGTCATGGGCACGAGGATACTCCACAGGCTGGCTAGACTTAACCCTGCAGACGAGCTGGGAGACCCAAGCCCTGGAACAGGGAACGAGGGAGACCAGATCAACCCAAAGCGGATCCCTGGCCACAGAAGCTGAGGCGTGCAGATAACAACGAAGAGCCGCAACCAGACATAATACATGATGCCCCTCCGGCCTGGCCAACCAAGAATCAATGACTCAAGAACTACTCCGGAAAGCGGCCGTCTCATTCTTTGCCAGAAAAGGAGAGGGCTGCAACCGAACAAACCTAACAGCAGGACCAAAAGAGCAGAATCCCCTGCGCCAGAGAAGAGCATGCAGCTCACCAACCCAACCCCCAAAGAACAAAACTTTCTTGAAATAGTCCTGGACTCAGGTGCAACCACAAACTAAGGGGAAGACAGAAAAGAGAACACCCGGTTCAAAGACCAGGACAAGAGTCAACAGTTCATTCCATGGACATGGGAATAAACCGCGACAGGCTGTCTACCAGGACATTGGACACACCCCGGACATGAACAGCAGAGAGCACTAAGCCCCGAGAACTCAGCAGAAGAGCCATTTGAAGCGACCAGCCCCAAAGAGCCATGGACCGCAGAGACCCACAGCAGTTCAGGCAATGAACCACCAGAGCGCAGTCCGAATGGAGTCGGATCATGGAGCCCCAAGCGAGCTGAATCCGACGCAGCATATGCCACACTGCCGCAAATTCCCACACCGTACTATCAGCCAGGCAGATGGATGGTGCCCATGGTCCCTGGCTGGCCTGGTGAGTACTGGTCAGAAAACTCCAGCCGAGAGAGGAGGCATCCGTGAGCATATTGAGGCAGGGCTCCGGAAGGCGCCAAGGTACCGAACCCTAAAAAGCCCGAAGAGGAAGCTGGCGCCGCAGCAGCCGACACAGGGAATCCAGCAATTGTGAGCGCGTTGGAAGAGACGGCTCCCGAAGGAACCAGAACAGACGCCGCAACCAATTCCCACCCAGCAGGTAAATGATCACAGCGAAGGTCAGGCTTCCTCACAGCTGCTCGAGCAACTGCCGAGTGTCCCGGTAACCCCCTCAGAAACGGACAACGGCGAGACTGCAGCTGGAGCAATGCCACCTGAGGGAGAGATAAGGATGCTGTCCAGGAATCCCAGACAAGGCCCAGCCAAGTCCTAACCTGAGAAGGAATCAGATGGGATTTCCTCCAGTTCACTAGGAACCCGAACCCGGCAAGCTGAAAAAGAACCAAACCCCTGGCAAGCACACGCAAGACTGGCTGGGAGCCCAGACCAACCAGTCGTCGAGGTAGACCGAAACCCAAACACCTAGAAGATGCAGACGGGACACCACAACATGGGTAAAACATGTGAAAATACAAGGTGCCAGATTCAGCTCGAAAGAAAGGCAACGAAAGAGGTAAGCCTGACACCCCACCACAAAACCGAGCCAGTCCCTGAACCCCGGATGAATAGGAACGTGCCAATACGCGTCCCAGAGGTCTAGGGACACTATCCGGGCCCCCTGGCTCCAAAAGAAGCCGGACCCGAGACAGAGTGGTCATCCGAGAGGAGGGGCAAGGTATCCAGGAGTTCAGACAGGACAAGTTCAAAACGTCGAGTTCGTTTTGACCACACCAAAATGCACCCACCCCCAGATAACCCGATGAAGCGAAGGGGAAGAAACCTGCCCTGCCAGCCCTGAACCCCTTCTAGGAGTTCAGGAGAGGCAAGGCCCAGCGCCACTGCAGGCAGGAAGACACGACCTGAAATGCACACGAATCGTGGAACCATGCGCAGGCAAACAGAGCCAGTTGCACCCCCAATGCCCCGTCAATGGGGTGACCCTTCCAAAAACCCAGACTTGTGTGCAGAGCCAACCAGACAAAGACGATTCCGAAGTAGACGCCAGCTCAGAAACTGGTATCAAATGCCCACCTTGACCAGTAGATGCCAGAGATCTGGCACTACCCTTCCGGGAAGCATGAGGACACGCGCCCTGAACCACCAACATATCTGAAAGAGAGCAGCAACTAGCAGAAGCTGCCTGGAGAAACTGACACACAATCAAATCCGCAAATAACAGCAGACAAAACGGAGACGAAAACCTAAGGGCCAGGGCCCCAAGCAGAATTCACAGAGAGCGAGAACAGCCTGCCGACACGCGAGGCAGGCGGTATAAAACAAGGACACCGCCTCCCTGAGGATAGGTGCAAACAGCTTAAGCAACGCCGTGGTAACCCTGGCCGCTGAAGTCAATGTGGCAGACCCAGCAGCCAACTCCTCCACATCTTCCATAAGCCAGTCTGAGGACAGATTGAGAAGGGAAAAGAAATGAAGGGCCAAAGCCAAATGCCCCCAAGCCCGAAGATCTTCCGCAGCCAAAGCAGTCGAAAGGGAAGGAACCTAGATGTGCAACTGGAGCACACCAACCTCACAAGGAAGCACAGGGTGCTTCAACTAGCATGTCAACAAGCATGCATTAAGATGCTCAAACGCACCCCCAAGGTACACTTGCAACACTATAGTAAGCTCCCGTCACTCAAGCATGCAATAACAACAACGCGTATGCCATGCCCCCAACGAAAAGAAAGGGCAGTCTGCAAGCCAGGAAGATGCCAGCATCTTGTAACTTATCCAATACGGTAAAGACGACCCAAACTCAAGAGAGACCGGGTTGAGAACTGGGTCACATAGGAGGTACACACCTAGGACCTCCTGAACCTTTGCAGCGAAAATTTCAGAGGTCAAAAACCTCCAGAAGGACACAGCCACGGAACCCACGGGAACCCGGAAAGGAACCCAGGGGAGGTGGGGGGAAAGCCAACCTCGTATCAAATTCATACAAGGAAGGGGGGTACAAAAACCTTGAACCTTGCAACAGTAGACACCACCCTGAAGGCACTAAACCCCAGGCAGGATCGAAAGAGGCCCAAGCGCCCCAGGCCACCTTCCTCCCAGCCCCAGAATCCATCAAACTAGGATCAGGGGCAGAGCCATCCTCAACGCCTTCTACTCTTGAAGGAAAGGCAAAGTCCAAGGGAAAGGCATCCAAGAAAGGGACCTGCTGGAAGTGACACAGGAGCCTCGGCAGGAAGAACTGGCTTGAATGCCTCCGTCCCTGCCTGGCATGGGGCAACCCCCGGAGCAGCCCGAGTCTTATCCCCAGCAAAACCCTGCCCTGACCCCTCAGATGCTTGGGAGCTGGGAGCTGGAAGTAGGAGGAAAGGAGAACTGTGAACCACACCAACAAGAGGAGGATGAAGGGATGCGGACGGAACCAAGGTCAAAGCGACCAACGCCCCCAAGTCCAGGTCCCTATAACCAAAACGGGCAGCCCCGAGGCATTCGAGCAACCAACCAACCAACCAACCATGTACGTTGCAGCAACCTAAACCTAACATGCAATGTGCAAGCCACTGACCGCTAACCTCAGCCATAGCAGTATGGGTAAATTGGACTACGAGTAAAGAACAAGTCTCAAGACTCTGGGTCGAAGGTGTTGTCGACCCAACAAGCAACATGACAGAGAAAATACAGGTGATCGTCACCCTGAGACAGGGGCAATGAGCAACCTTCAAACTCGCACAAGACTAGATGGGATTCGAAAGACTCATCCATCAGTCAACAAAGTCCCGCCAGCGTTTTCCAAGGTCCGTAGGGGGATGTCTCTCTACGGGAAGCCAGGTGGATGTGTGTCTATGCGAAGCCCAGGCGCTGGACTGCCAAAACTGGTTGTATTCCTGTAACTGATCAGGCAAACTGGCCCCTGTGAGGTGAGCAAGCCCGGAGGCCCAGAGGAGGACCGCCACACTGACCTAGATAGCACCTAATATGGACTGTGGCAGCCGCCCAATGGGCAATAAAACAAACTAAAAGAATGAAAAAGAACTCCGAGGAAGCACCACAACCAATGGAAACCAGAAAGAGTCTCTGAAATTATGCAAGTTGGGCAGCCCAGCGCACCCCAACTATCAAACCACAACTCCCTACCCACCTTGAAGTTACCTTGAAGTGTTTCCGGGGCTTAGTGTCCCCGCGGCCTGATCGTCGACCAGGCCTCCTCGTTGCTGGACTGGTCAACCAGGCTGTTTGATGCGGCTGCTAACAGCCTGACATATGAATCAAAGCCTGGTTGATCAGGTACCCAGGGCCAAACAAAAGGACCGAGACCTAAGCCGACCCCAAGGGCGAGGTAGCAAACCAAGCAGTCACTACCCTCTACAAGAATGAGGGCCCAAAGGACCCAGAGAAGAGAACTCTAAACGCCAAGGGTTTAGAGTTTCCCCCTGCTCTCTCAGGGAACCTAAGGAAGGAAGCCCTAAGTACAAGCAGCCCTTGGTACAAACTCCTGGTCACTGCCAACGCACAGTAGGAACACCAGCAGGGTGAAGCCAATCACACAATCAAGACCAGAGCAGACCTCCACCCCAAATAGCTCCAGCTGACAAACTGATGGTCTGGCTGCCGGCTCGGTGGGCTGGGACCCCACTCCACGGGAGGGAAGGGGAAATTTCCAGAACGAGTGCCTCGTGGTGTGATGCTTATTAGCTTGTTTTTCTTTGAGAGAAGTTTCTAGCCTTTGTTCGGTCTTAGGCTGCAATATTTCTACCAGGAGGGATCTGTCTTGAAGCACCTACCTTTCTGGGTGCTCAACCCCGGTCGATGGCAGATATGAATACTTTCATACGTGAGAGTTTCAAAGGCCATTGCTCCCCCTCACCTCTCTGAGGGGACCATGTTCTTGCTAGTGGTCCCCAGTAGGCATGACAACTCCATTTGACTGAAGCCCCGTACTAATATTAGCTAATATCAATCCAATAGCTTCAGGGAGCCGACAGGGCTCCCCACACAGAAAAAAGGAGTCGAATGTCAGAGATATGACCCCCACCTCGGCTTTCCATTATAAAGACACGGCCCCAGCTATTTTATTTAGACAATTATGTCCCAGCTATTCTCCATTAAAAAGTTACACCCTCAATTATAGCATATTAAAAAAGACAATCCTCCAGCTAACCCCATTTGAAATCTATTCCTCCATTAGAGATGTTTGCCCTCATCTGGGTTAACATGATTTTATTATTTTAAAATGTTTAAATTATCCATGCATGTGACTCCAATAGTGTATTACTTACATTATAACGTCATAACATGCAACATTATATTACATAGACATAAATCAATTGTATTATACCAGTATGTAAATTACAACATCTGTCCATCTCTTATGTACCTTTCCATTTGTTCTCCCCAAAATAACTGTGCTCCTCTGTTATCCCCAAATAAAACCAAACTAAAATTCCGGGTGGTACAGTCGGGTTCGTTCTCGACACACAATCGAGAATTCCGGGTTCGAATCCCGGACGGGACAGAAATGGTTGGGCATATTTCCTTTCACCTAATGCTTCTGTTCACCTAGCAGTAAGTAAGTACCTAGGAGTGTTAACTAGCTGTAGTTTGTTTTGGGATTCCTACCTTTCTGGTTGTCTGACCTGGTAGATGGCAGACATAGATGGCTTCCAACTACATGGAGGTGTCTATAGGCCATTGCTCCTCGTGCCTCTCTGTGGGGGCCAGGTCTGGCTCATGGTCCCCAGTAGGCCTAGTACCCCATCGATTGACTCTTGCCACGGTCTAATATATACACATCAGCATATATATATACACATATAGCTCCGGAGAACCTGAGGGGCTCTCCACAGAAAACTCACCTGTTCTTATCAAAGTGGTTGAAGGACGAACGGAACTCGTTGAGCTGTTCTTGGCTGATACCCTTTGAGTCACGGGTGAGGATTTGGTTCTCTACTTCATTAATGGTGCGGTTAATGGATGTCAGCAACTGTTCCCACCCAACACGCAGTGTCTCCATCGTGTATTGGGTATACCTATAGATACATGAATATTTTTATACAAGACATTTTGTGAGAAAATTAAGTCTTAGTTCTGTAACAGAATGCACATCCTAGTATTAAAATATTACAAAACTTATATGAGTGTCAATATGATCATTTATATGATTGGCCATTGAGAACTGTAAATACTGAATTGAAATAGTCATTGAAAACTTGACATGTATTCATGAATGGTAACCTCATCTTCAGAAGGATATATATACCTGCTTTGGATAAAGCAGGTATGTCCTCCGGAAGGTTTTTGTATTTGGCCAGGACATGTTAGCAGTCATGAAAGCGTCATATTTCTAAACATCATGGGAACAAGGATAGAATGTAGACTGGCTGGATCTAATAACACTGTGGATGACTCTAGAAATACAAGCCTTGGAACAGGAGATCAAGATGACCAGATCAACCCACAAAACATCCACAGAGGCAAAATCAGTGGTGCGTAGGTCGTGGTGGAAAGTCGCCACCAAACAACAGATGATGCACCCATGACCAAACCAACAGAGCATCAATCACCAAGGGACCTCTCCAGAAGTCAACTGACTAGTTCTTTACTAGAAAAGAAAAAGCTGGCTGCAGATGAACAAAATGCCCACCAGGGCCAAAAGAGCAAAACCCTCGTCGCTGGAGAACATGAAGCTCCCCAACCCTACAACCGGAGGGGAGAGTAACTAAAAACAAGCCCTTGAAAATGCAATCTTAGACCAAAGACGACACCGAGAACCAAAGACAAGCCAGGAAAGGAGGAACACAGTCCAAACACTAAGCAGGCTCAGGCAGAGCAGGCTGGAGGTGAAACAAGGAAATTACCTACATGTAATTACCTTGTTTCACCTCCAGCCTACTCTACCTGAGCCTGCTCTGGCTCAGCCTGCTTAAGTCTTTGGACTGTGTGTGTTCGTTTCTTTGCAGGCAGAAAGGCCTGCAAAAAGCAGGAAGGTGCCAATTAAGAAAGGAGATTTCCTATTACATTTCTTACGTGCATGCCCATGCCACATGCTCTGAAATTGAAGAAAAACAATGTAAGGAAAGGAGGTATAGAAAAGTATGCAAAGAAACCTCATACTGTGGCTTCGAGGAAGCCCGCAGTTGGGACACCATCAACTCTGCCCCCTGATCGCCATATAAATGACGATAAACCTGCACAATACATATCAAAGGTGTAGAGTAGAGGAGAAGGTCGAACCAGTGAAGTACTGTACATCACTGGGCTGGAAGGAGGCAGTCACAAAAAAACAATCGAATCTAGTCATTTTCCACGAACAAGCAGCACTCGAAACAAAGGCTGGACTGGCCACCAAGGAGCCAAAAGGAAAACCCTCCCTTGATAGGACTCAAACTTGAACAGGACCTGGAGGAATAGCTGGACCAAGAAAAATAGGTAATGGTACACTCAGTGATAGTAGTTTCAAGGAGCCAAAAGGGGTTCTCTACAGAAATTGTTCCAGAACAAAATCAACTCTCATACCAAGAAAGGTTTGAGAGCCACAGGACTAACAACACTGCAAACCAGACATGACAAGGTTGATCTCATCAATACTTTTATAATACTGAACAATTTGTAGGATATTGATCCAGACCACTTCTTTAAAAGGTCAAATGGAATACATACAAGGAATAATGGCTTCAAAGCTTAATAAGCCATAAGCCATATTGGAAATGTGGCTTATTGTAGGATGGAAAACAGAAGATGCTTTTTCACCCATGGTGAAAAACCATTTTCACCCATGGTGAAAAAACATTTTCACCCATAGTAAGCTCATGGAATTGTCTACACACCAAAGCCATAAATGAGACGACAATACTGCAATTCAAAACCCAGCTGGAGAAAATCATCAGGAAGAATGGGGGGCCTTTGACAAACTGTCGGATTCCTATCCCCATCGAGTTCAATACAGAAATGGTGGCCAATTAAATTCAGGTAATTCAGGTATTTCAGCAGGGAGCTAAGAACTACTAAGGAACTGAAAGATGGAATTGCAATTTCAGTAAATGTCTGATGAAACAATCAGAAGTGTTTTAGGAGCTTCTCTTATTTATAGCTTCAAGAAACTTAACAAAGTTTGGAAAAAATACCTGTGACAGATGCTGTCAAAGATTATGAAATTATCATTTAGGTTTATAGTAATTTCAATCCAAAACTATTATTTAATTGTACATACAGTACAATTCATCTCCAAGGAATACAGTACAATCAACAATTCTAAAAATGTGAATATAGTACTGTATTGTGTTTCTGCTACATTTTTCAAAAGTAAGTTTTTTCAAGAAAAAAATTAATAATTTGACATTACTTCAGACCAAGGTGATAACCCAAGCATATTACTGAGCCACGTATTGTGTTGTGTAAAGACCATGAGTACCCTACCTATTCTCGAAGATCATAGACTCCTGCACAGCTTGGTGGATCTTCTCCATCTCGTCCATGATTGCCTTATTGCCAACAACAGCAGCTTCATAGTCCTTCAGACGGTTTAGCTGATCCTCAAGAACAGAACCCTGGAAAGAGGCACCAGATCATCATAAGTGCACTGAAACAACCATTACCATTATTATTATTATCGACTAAATGGTTTTATGTTGATTCAACAAATAAATTGTGACAAACATATACAAATAATGTTTGAACCATTAAATATATTAAAGACTAGCTTTAAATCAAGTGCTAAAATTTATATAAACTCCTTAATTATTTATCACACCTTAAATAAATAGCACAAATATTTCTAAGCATTTCTTACGTGCATGCCCATGCCAATAGCTGCAACAGCATCCATCTGTTTTTCAATCCAAGGGCCCACACCATTGGCTTTTTCAGCAAACTGGCGCCGTAGACTCTCATTGTCTGGTAGATTTTATTAAGGAAAAAATCACAGGAACATTTATAATAACCATGTATTAAACAAGCAGTTATAATAAGTCAAACTTGGGTGGTCATCTGCGACTAGAGAATAGGATGTAACACCATCTTGATATTGTAAATCTTACCTGTTTCTATGTCCTTTTGGTGATTTAACTTATGATATCATTGGGATTGGGCTTGGATCCCACTGAGCCATGTGATGTGATGTTTTTTAATTAATCCTGTTGTGTTGACCGGAGGGTAATAGTATGTGGCTGGAGTTTAGGGAATTAATTTGGTGCCAAGTGGCATTCTAGAGGGTAGTGCTAGGTTGTTTGGGTAGGTCTGATGCTGTATGGATGTCAATAGTGACTCCTTTATAATCTCAGCTCACCAAACCTGTCTACCCTCTCTGAGTGATCTCTCTCAGGATCTCTGAGTGGTCGGAAGTGGCAATCTTAAATTCACATGTTGTGAATAAGGCCAACTGAATGCCAAGTTTCAAAACTATAAAACTTTTCTAATAAAATGTTTGAGTTCATACTGGCTATATATTTAATATGCTAACTTTGGTCTTCCTATTACAAAAAACAGGAAGATAAGCTTGAAGATATTAAGAAATAAACCTTATGAAGAAAGTCTCGGAGATCTAAATTTGTTTTCTTTGAAGCACAGACTACAGGGATATCTTCAATATCTTAAGTTTCAAACAGAAGATTTATATATTCTAAAAGAAGGAACTACACGAGATGCAGGCATATTCACCAACAAAAAATAGTAGCCTGAATTTCAAATCTAGTAGATGTAGTACAAATGGGGAGCAGTGATTCTTTGCTTATAGAGTTGTAGAACACCAAAATAAATTGCCCTCGGATGTTGTAAGTCCAAATTCAATATACACCGTTAAGAAATAGCAGAATAGATATTTTGAAGCTATTTATATAAATAAAACTCATTTTAATATTTATGGCACATGGTTTGTGTGAGATGAGGTGGAAGCTGGAGGAAACAGTAGTAGATTGTTACAGTGTCTGCTTGTAGAACCAGCAGTAACTGTAGTCTTATTCCTACTTTCCAGTCAAATTTATATGCCATTTGTCACATCACTGTCTACTTCCGACTTTTGTCCCAGTTAGCATTAAATGCCAGATGGTGGTGAGGAGCCACCTCTTGATATCATACTCTCCTTTACTCAGATAAATTCCATATAAATAACAACACTCCTCCATGCCACAGCCCACCTCCACATGCCATCCATATTAACTCATTATGCCATGTAGAGCTGATTAAACTACAACACCCGAAACAATCTTGAGGTTATCTTGAGATGATTTCTGGGCTTTAGTGTCCCCGCGGCCTGGTCCTCGACCAGGCCTCCACCCCCCAGGAAGCAGCCCGTGACAGCTGACTAACACCCAGGTACCTATTTTACTGCTAGGTAACAAGGGGCATAGGGTGAAAGAAACTCTGCCTATTGTTTCTCGCCGGCGCCTGGGATCGAACCCAGGACCACAGGATCACAAATCCAGCGTGCTGTCCGCTCAGCCGACCGGCTCCTCCCAATCTCACAATTGCAAGCACATTTCAATGAAATATACTGATATTTTAACTAAGAATTGTTAATTCATAAAAGTTTCTGAATTAAAATAAAATTTCATTTTAAAAGTTGAAAAGGATACTCTGCTGCTTTTGGAGCTCAGCCTGGAGGGTTCCATCACGCTGAGGCACCAACTTCCTCACCTCTCCCCACTTGCTCGAGATCACCTGCAATTACATGCCACACATTAGTCTTCTAAAAATATTGAATTTGATATTTAGTCTATGGTTAAAATATTGATATTTAAAAGAAGAAATACATATTAAATACATGGTCACTACTGAAAGACAAACCAGACAGAAGAGCATTTGCTCAAAAGAACAAAACAACAAACATTAATTAACAATTATTTTGGGATGATTGAGGCAATGGAAGTGATGCTCCAAGTTTATGTCTAGTAGTACAGTTGGATTCATTCTCCACTTGCAATCAAAAGTTCCAATCCTGGATAGGACAGAAATAGTTGGGCATGTTTCCTATTGCCTAATATACCTGTTCACCTAGTAGTAAATAGGTACCCAGGAGCAGTCAGCTTCTTGTGGGTTGCATCCTGGGGAGGGTCAGTAGTCGATCTTGGGGGGAGGTTGGGGGGGACCTCGATATAAGCCTAACATCCATACATACATATACACACACACACACACAGCCAAGGAGCAAACATTTGTTCATGAATGAACTGTACATTACTTGACAACTTTTTTGTTTGTCTCCCTATAAGATTTTTACATTGTTTTTGTTTTATGGACTAAGCTTCAAACATGTACAAGTAATCAATGACCATGAAAGTGGGAAACTTTGCCCTGGTTTATAAAATCTGCTTACTTGAATATGAATAGTAATAATTACATCATACACATGAATATAAATTTTGTGTAATAAAGCACGTAGTGTCAAAGGTAACATATGGAAGAAGCCACTGGTGTAAACTCTCAACTAGAGCTTCATGCATATATCATCTCTAAAATTGAACAATATAAAAATATTATAACAAACTAAATTATTTTTTACTATAACAAAATTAATGTCAACTTTATTCTTAATTTCAAGAACAATGAATATTGATGTTCATTAACTTTTAGACAGCTCCAACCACTATCTGTGATTACCTCCTGGGCTCCAGTCACTACTGTATATGCAATTTTCTTACATTTGTTTTGTGAACTATTGTGTGTCATGCACACTATGATATTGGACTTTTAATTGGCTAAATTATTTAAAGGTTAATGCTGAGCATATTAATGGAAATCATTCCATTCACCTGGGCTGTGTGGGTCACGTACCGTGGACCCTGCGCGTGTGAGGCCCATGCTCTATTGACTGGGCTATGAGTAGTCTCAATAAGGAAAAATTTCCAGAAGCATCATCATGCTGCTGCCAAACTCGAATTTTTTACTTTCCCTGACTACTACTGAAGCACAGAGGAATTACTGACCCACGCTTACATCATAAATTGTCATCCACACTTCCATGGAAATAAACAGTCGATTTCCATGTTTATTGGAATGTTTATTTCCACGGAAGTGTGGATGACATTTTAATGGAAATCAATGTTTTGTTTAATAATGCTCCCCGTTACACCTTCATAATAAACTGATGATTACATTACTTTGTCATACGCAAAATAGCACTTTACCTCCACAGCTGCAAGAATTCCTTCGCTATCCTATGTATGCATGTGGAAGAATAGCACAGGATCAGTTATGAAAAAATTTAGTTTAACTTTTCAATGTTCGTTATTCTACTGATTTATGTCAATCTTGGCTTTCCTGCCATGGTCATTGCCCAAGGAAAATGTTCAGAGTGAGGCATCAGCAGTATACAGGGAAGGACAGTTCACATGTTCAGGAGGAAGTTTAGTAAACTGACCTGTGCAGTGAGGGTAGTGTAGGGGTTGTCAAGACCACCTGGTATCTGGTACTGCTGGGCCATGTGCTGAACTTCTGTCACCAGAGAAATGATGGCCTGATACTCCTTATCAGCCTCGCCTAGAGTTGCCTTGAACTGATTATGAGCATCAATCAAGCCTTGGATCTCTTCAATGGTGTGCACGATGAACATGTCAACCAGGTCTTCACATGCTCCATCCAGCCAGTTGTTGAAAGGCTGTAACATGGAGATGAAAAGTGCAATATTGAGGCTGAAACACTACTCCTTTAATAATAATAATTTGTTGAAGATTAATAAATTACATTCTTGCAGACAATATTCAATAAACAAATCTATATTAAAATTAATTCTTGACCAGGAAACATTTCGAGAATACTGAGAACATTCTGAGAACATACTGCTGCCCTCTTGGCAAATTCAAGGTGAAGCTGGTCAATCTTCTCTAACAATTTCTCGGTCTCTTCTAGAGCATTCCTGCGAGAGGTTGTGAGGGTGCCAAGACGATCCCATTGGTCACAAATTGACTGGCAGCGAGAATTAATTGTTGCCGAGTCATAATAGTCCAGGGCATTCAATTCCTGTGCAATGGCAGCAATCTGCTCTACACGATCCTGGGAACATTAAAGATTCATATAATTGTAATGCAAATATTTTGTTCATAATATATCTATCCTCATCAATAACAATGAATATAATAATCATATAAATTGAGTCATACTTATATACATAATTATACAATACAGTATTTTGTTCCTTGAAAATCTTAATAAATATGAGGATACACCTTACCTGGTGTGCAGCCAAATCAGATTCAAAGGCTTCGTGCTTCTTCTTAAGAGCTTTGAGTTCATTAAGCTTGCAATGTCTGAAATCTTGACTTTGCAACATTTCTTCCTTTCCAGCAGTCCAGGACTCATGAATCTCTGCTTTGTGCTTGAATTTCTTGGCAAGGTGCTCAAGACGCTCCAACCTATATAGCAGAAAAGTTTGAACAGTATTACCCAATATTAAAAAGAAGAGTGATGTTCATCTGCCCCACAACAATTACCATTGGCAACTACTCGAGAGCCAATATTACCTACAGCACATCAATCAAATTTTTTAATGGGGGTACAGTACTTGTGTTAATTTTTTCAAGGCTGGTGGGCATTTAGAATATGCATTTATAAAGCCTCAATTACGCTCAGTACTTTGGGGAAGTTTTAAGGTCAAGATAAAAATACAGCAGAAAAGTTATTATAACCATAGTAAAGAATTATGATGATGAAATTTAATTTTTCTAAATTCTAACAATGCATCAAGTGATTTTAGTTCACTAAACAATTCTTAATCTACTGCAGTACACTAAAAATAACTTAATATATTTCTAGTAATGTAATAATAGTAGTTAGTAGTAGTAATAATAGTACAACATATTACTATTAGTCGAAGAAGAATAATAGTAGTACAGTGGAACCTTGACTTACGAATGCCCCTATTTATGAAATTTTTTGAGTTACGACCCCCAATTTTGTCGGAAAATTCTACTTTACTTATGACCTTTGCCTCGACACGTGACTTTGTTGATACACATATGGGTCGACCAAACGCGTGGTTCCTGGTGGCACGGGCGACCCCGTCTCAGTTACCAGAACCGCCTGCTTAGTGACAATCGCGCTTGAATTCTTTAGAGTGTGTTTCTTATTTTTTTTTTTTTTTTAACAAAAGTAATTATTATATATCATACTATGGGTCGCACGAAAGTCGGTGGTAAGGTTCAACCTAAGAAAATTGTTGTGAGTAGAGGCAGTAGAGGATGTCCCTTTCTCATTAAGAAAATGTGTGAAGTATGGGGAAGAACTGCAAAGTTTGGTTGAAAAAACTCACCCAGATAAAGCTGTGGCAGGCCGTTGCATTGATCTTTTAAATGACAATGTGATGTCTCACTACAGACATGTGTTAAAATGAAGGAACAAATAGGTGTCTTAGACAGATTCTTAGTAAGACAAGCAAGCAGAGAGCCACAACCAGGTCCTAGTGGTATGCCTGTAAAACGTAGGAGAGAGAGTACCCCAGAGAAGTCATCACCGCCTGATGTTATAATGGAAGGGGGACTCCCCTTCGAAACAGTAACATCTCTCCTCCCCCCACCCTCCTCCTCACCATCATCTATACGCCAACAAGAGTCATCAATAAAGGTAAGCTATAACTTGTACATACTATAGTACTAAATGTGTGTGTGTATTATGTATGAAATGTATTTTGAAGTTAATATTTTTGGGAGTGTGGAACGGATTAATTCAATTTACATTATTTCTTAAGGGAAAATTCGTTTTGAGTTACGAATTTTTGAGCTACGACCCGTCTCTGGGAACGGATTAAATTCGTAAATGGAGGTACTACTGTAGTATTAACATTGAGTTATACCTCATCATCTCAGAAAGCAGCCACTCTTCAAAAGATTTCTCACAGCCTTCAAGATTCTTCCATGCATTGGCAATATCAGTGACACTCTTTCCTTCAGAGGGAAGGTATGCAGGACGGTTGGAGAGGCGAAGTTTGGTCTGTACAGAAATAACAATTTGAAAAAATAAAAAAGTAATCAAATAAAAGTACAGAAAACACTGATACTGTATCAGTAATGAGAAATTTATACAGATATTTCACCATTTATATATATAGTATGTACATTCTATTACAATGGAGAGAGCACACACCTGGAGCGTGTTGAAGTTGGTCTCTAGCCTAGCTTTCTGCTCTACACGCGGGGGCTTGTGGTTGCGACGATATAGACGGTACTCTTCTAACTTCTTCTGCAGATCAGCCAGAGTGTTGTCCTGCTGGCGAGCCTGGAGCCACGGCAAGGTGCGGCGGATCCATTCCAGCAGGTCGGAGGTGAGGCGTTCGTATTCCTCCATGAGGCGCTCGTTCTCCTGGTTAACCTTCAGCACCTTGCAGATGCGGTTGGCTGCCATCTCAGCCTAATAATTCAAAAGGTTGTTTTATTAGAGAAAATAAACTTCATTTTTTGTATTTTCCTTTTCATAATCAACAAATAGTAGAGAAAATAACTGGAAGTTTTACTTATTGTCTAACTTAAGGTGTACATTTTTTAAGACAATAGCTTGACAAATTTGTATAACCTTACTGTAATAAACCATTTCCCTTATTTACAAAGAAGATTGCCAATGTATACATTTTCAAAACAGTAATTACCTGTCTGGTAATTTATTATGAGGAAGAAAGAAAATTATTGAAATCTTTGGGAAGTAATCAGCTTATTTATGATAAATTACAAATGAAGTAACCATTTTTAAGTCTTTAGAGGTCAGATACAATAATTTTGAAAATGTATAGAAATAAAACATTTATTATACTTGGTAATATTTAAGAATAAAAATCCTTATTGAAAAACAAAAGATAAAAATGCACTTTAACTGTGTCCAGAAAAACTATGGCAATTTATACATTTACTTGTCATCATGCTGACTAGTCAAATGTTGGCCTGATATCTTGAGCGAGAAATTTTCAGCAAGCCACTACAATATATCGACAAACACACGACTAGATCATGAAACTGTATATCATGATTTAATGCATGTCAATATTCTGTACTCATATTGCAACCTATCCAATTGAATAATACATCACATTTTGATGTCAACCCCTAACAAACAAAATATGATGTACTATAAATCTTTGGAGCTCACAAACATCCATGTTTTCTATGCATGGGTTGTTCAGTTAGGCTGGGAGTTAGATTCAGGTGTTTTAGTGCACTGCTTTCTGTCCATTGTGGCAACTTGAGAGGACAGTCTGTGTATCGAGAGAGAAGGTTCTATGGATATTTTTGTTTCATATCATGAAATTTGCGATGATTTATCACCAAAATAATATAATATTGGCTGCACAGAAAGTGTGTGGCAGTCAACTATATGATATGTTGATGGTATTTCATGGATCCAGGTAATATCAGAGTCCCATTTCCTCTCCATACAATAGGATATAAACCAGGACAGAACAGTTTAAGAATTTCACCTCATCCTTCTCTAGAGAAAGGTAATAGACAAGAAGATAAGGGAGAAGGGCCTTGTACTGTTGTTGGTAGCAAATATAGCTCGTGAGAGTGAAGTAGCAGAACATTCATCCAGGTTTGAACTACATTAAATAATTATTCAGTTTAAAATTTTTCTGTAATAAAAAAGCAATAAAATCTTTGCTGATTTTTTACTAAATACATTATTATAAATATAATGTTCTAAATCACAGTGACTTCAAGAATTCACAATTGATCATGAGTAGTCTCTGAAGATAAATTATATATACAAGAAATATATACAGTAGATGAAAATTATATTTTCATTTACTATTCCTAATCAAAAATGAATTCTTTATGTAGCTATAATTTTGACATTTATATCTACAATAACAACTACTTGTGTTGTCCCTCCTTGAGTACTGCTTGATACTCGCTTTCTCTTTCAGAACAGGAGAGATTGATGAAATACAGTGCACATAATTGGGAGTGTCTCAAAGCTCTCAAAATATATTCTCTGGAAAGGAGAGGAGAGAGGTATCAAATAATATATACATGGAAATAACAACAAACTAGAGTGAACAATATGGAAGGAAATGCAAAAATAGAGCCATTGAAGAGCAGAGGTGCCATAGGAACAACCTGAGAACATGGTATGAACATCAGAGGGCTACAGCTGTTCAATATCCTCTCAGCAAGTATAGGAAATATTGCCAGAACAAGTGAATTTCTTTCAAAAGAAATTAAGATAGTTTCCTGCAAGAAGTGCAGGACCAAGCAGGTTGTAGTGGACATGGAGTCTGCGGGCCACTCCAAACAACAGCCAGTTGGACCATGCTCTAACAAATCAAACCTGGCCCTAGGTCAGGCTTAGGGAGTAGAACTACCAGAACCCACTCCAGGTACAACCCAGGTACAATAATGGAAACATTTGTACTATAAATTGCCACAAACACTTCTGTGGAAATAAACATTCCATTTACCTGGACTGTATGGGTCTCGTGTGGACTCCACGTGTGTGAGGCCGTACCATGCACACAATTCAGGTGAACGGAACATTTCTACTGTTTTGTTCATGTTGAAATTTGTAATTATTGATTAATATATCAGAAAATTTCCCAAAATGACCTGGCACTTCATTCTCTCACCAAGCCATATTAATGACCAACACCAGTACAAAGCTCTGCTTCTTCCTGCCATCTTTATCAATTTTCTTTCTCCTTGAGGTTACCGTGAGGTGCTTCCAGGGCTTAGTGTCCCCACAGCCCGGTCGCCGACCAGGCCTCCTGGTTGCTGGACTGGTCAACCAGGCTGTTGGACGCGGCTGCTCGCAGCCTGATGTACGAATCACAGCCTGGTTGATCAGGTATCCTTTGGAAGTGTTTATCCAGTTCTCTCTTGAACACTGTGAGGGGGGTCAGCCAGTTATGCCCCTTATGTGTAGTGGAAGCGCGTTGAACAGTCCCGGGCCTCTGATGTTGATGGAGCTCTCTCTCAGAGTACCTGTTGCACTTCTGTTTTTCAACGGGGGTATTCGGCACATCCTGCCATGCCTCCTGGTCTCATGTGATGTTATTTCTGTGTGCAGGTTTGGGACCATCCCCTCTACTATTTTACACGTGTAAATTATTATGTATCTCTCCCGCCTGCGCTCAAGGAAATACAGATTTAGGCTCTTTAGTCGGTCCCAGTAGTTTAGATGTTTTACCGAGTAGATTCTAGCAGTAAAGGATCTCTGCATGCTCTCCAGGTCAGCAATTTCTCCAGCTTTGAAAGGAGCTGTCATTGTGCAGAAGTACTCCACTCTAGAGAGCACTAGCGTCTTGAAAAGTATCATCATCGGTATAGCATCTCTAGTGTGAAAAGTTCTTGTTATCCAACCTGTCATTTTTCTTGCAGTTGTAATGGCTACTTTGTGTTCTTTAAAGGTAAGGTCTTCCGACATGAGTACACTCAGATCCTTTACATTGCCTTTTCGTTCTATGTTATGATTTGCTCAAGTTTGGTACATGTTTCTGTTTTTATATTTTCATTTTTTCCGTAGTGCATGAGCTGAAACTTATCTTCGTTAAACACCATATTATTTTTGTAGCCCACAGAAAGACCTGATCTACATCTGATTGGAGGTCTACCGTATCCTCTATGTTGCCTATTCTCATGAAAATCCTAGTGTCATCTGCAAAGGATGATACAGTACTATAGATTGAGTCTTTGTCTATGTCCGATATGAGAATGAGAAAAAGTACTGGAGCAAGCACAGTACTCTGGGGGACTCTTCACGGTTGATGGGCTGGATTTTATTTTGTTGACTATTACACATTGGATTCTGTTAGTCAGGAAATTGTAGATCCATCTGCCTATTTGTCCGGTAATTCCTTTTTGAACGCATTTTATGTGCAATAACACCATGGTCACATTTGTCAAAGGCTTTTGCGAAAACTGTGCAAATTACATCAGCATTTTGTTTGTCTTCCATGGCATCTAATGCCATGTCATAGTGGTCCAGCAATTGTGACAGGCAAGAGCGCCCTGTTCTGAAACCATGTTGTCCGGGGTTATGGAGATGCTGTGATTCCATGTATTTGTGATCTTACTTCTTAGCACTCTCAAAGATTTTTATGATGTGCGATGTTAGTGCTATTGATCTGTAATTTTTTGCCTCTGCCTTATTTCCTCTTTTATGGAGTGGTGCTATCTCTGCTGTTTTTTAGTATGTCAGGTATAACACCAGTATCTAGGCTTTGTCTCCACAGAATGTGAAGGGCCTGCGATAATGGTTTTTTACAGTTCTTGATGAATATGGAGTTCCAAGAATCAGGATTTGGTGCAGGGTGCATAGGCATACTGTTTATGGCTTCTTCAAAATCCAGTGGGAATAGGGTGATGTCTGATATATGATTTGATGTTGGTATCATAGCCATGAAAAATTCATTTGGGTTATCAATCTTTAGTGTGTTTAGTGGCTCACTGAAAACAGAGTCGTACTGCTTCCTCAGTAACTCGCTCATTTCTTTGTTGTCATCTGTGAAAGTTCCATCTCCCGTTCACAGGGGCCTGATACTAGATGTGGTTTTTTATCTTGATTTTGCATAGGAGAAAAATATTTCGGATTTCTCTATTTCACTGATGGCCTTTTGCTTTATTTGCCTCTCCTGGGTTTTGTATAATTCTTTTAGCTTGAGTTTAATTGTTTTTATTTCTCTACCTAACCTTCTTCGCTGTTCTTGAGATGGGGTGAGACTCAAGTTGTTCTGCGATTCGTTTTCTTCACCAATAGAGGGAACAACGTTCCCGTTCCAACCTGCATCTCTTCCTCTTTTTTTTTTAAGGATATGCGGTTTGGATGTATATAACATATTTCTAGTGCTGGATGTATATAACATATTTCTAGTGCTGGATGTATATAACATATTTCTAGTGCTGGATGTATGTAACATATTTCTAGTGCTGGATGTATATAACATTTCTAGTGCTGGATGTATATAACATATTTCTAGTGCTGGATGTATATAACATATTTCTAGTGCTGGATGTATATAACATATTTCTAGTGCTGGATGTATGTAACATATTTCTAGTGCTGGATGTATATAACATATTTCTAGTGCTGGATGTATATATTTCTAGTGCTGGATGTATATAACATATTTCTAGTGCTGGATGTATAACACATATTTCTAGTGCTGGATGTATATAACATATTTCTAGTGCTGGATGTATGTAACATATTTCTAGTGCTGGATGTATGTAACATATTTCTAGTGCTGGATGTATGTAACGTATTTCTAGTGCTGGATGTATATAACATATTTCTAGTGCTGGATGTATGTAACATATTTCTAGTGCTGGATGTATATAACATATTTCTAGTGCTGGATGTATGTAACATATTTCTAGTGCTGGATGTATATAACATATTTCTAGTGCTACTGAGCTTATTTTTTCCAGGCACTGGTTCAGGTTTACAGTTTCTCAAGTGAAGACTTCATACAATTTTCTTCCACTGTATTAGCCGGCTTTATATTTTATGGATTCAGCTTGGAGAGAAGACAGCAATCTGATGAGATAATCTGCATCGCCAAAATAACAGCCCCCATATTGTGTGTTTAAAATGTCAGACTCCTTTTGAAGCCTCATGCTTTTATTTGGGTGATTCACCATCATCTCAAATTCCATTCCTTAGAAAAAATGCCAGAACACCTTCTCTCTCTTATTATACAATAAATTACAGCCTTACACTACACCTTGGTGTGGTGTGAAGTTGTGTGTTTCTTGATAATGGTTTGTTGACAAGACTTTCCCTAACATGTTTAGTAGAGCTGAAACAGCCATAACCCACAATGCAGAAAGAATGTCACGTTTAAGCTACTGCAAACAGTATGAACAGTGAATCGTTACACAATATATATAAATTATTTAGAATTTATATAATATTTCAGATCAATTTGACTTTTTATTGCACATGACTTTAAAAAAGGATTAAGTTCCAAAAGCCTGCTTGAATAAACTAGGGTATCTTCAGTTAAAACAAATGAGAGATAATGTATGATAAACAGCAGACTGTTATATCAAGTACACCATGTAACGATGAATAACATCTTTAAGATGATTACACTTCTTGCACCAAAATGGGATTAAGTTAACTCTGCATTTGGCAAAAAATTACAAGATGAGCAGCAAATAAATAATTATAAAGTGTGTGTTGTTATGATGAAGGCTAAATGTAAACAATGACATATTAATACTAAATTGGCTAAGAATAATAAAAGGTACATCTGCTAATGTAATCAAATTGCATAATAATGTCAATAGAATTCAAATCCATCTCTGTGTTTCACAATTAGTCAAGAACTGATTATGTTGTTCTATCTATACAGTATTGAGCACTTTTGTGATGCAACATTTTTCAATCTTGGGAAACTCATGTTAAAGAACACAATATTCCCCCTGTACAGTACGTATAGTAAAGAACTTGTTATAGATCTACCACAACCCCCCACTGCTCAGGTATATTCCTTCTCAGTGTTTCCAAGTGTTTCGCAAATGTTACTAACCTTTTGCACACCTGTAAATGTGTGGTAATACGAGGAAACATATGTCATGACAGCTCGTTCGTCCGGCACACCTTCTGATATGTCTGTAATGTACATAGTTAGTAAGACACACACCTTCACTAGCAGAAGCTTTAATACTTCTTAATTAGTTCAGCAACAAGGCACACGCTTTAAAAGTAAGGTTAAAGGACAATGACAACATAGAAAATCAAAATACTAAACTAAGGTATATCCGGCATTTTCTGCATCCGAGTGGTGTGTAAGCGAATTGCTGTGGAGCGGACGTAAGTCATGAAAATGATGGTTAAAGGATACTAATTGCTGTACTTTGAGAGAGCATCAACAAAAGTGAATAAAGAAACCTCATGCACAGGCATCAATACAGGCAATGATAGTAGTGTTTACTGAACATAACAAGAGCACTAGGCCAAAATATTAAAGGCTCAGTTTTTATACAACAAAATGGCACGTGAAGAGTTTCTCTACGATCATTGCTGAAATTTGTGTGGACAAACAATAGTGACTATCTCATGCATGTTATCAAATGTTACTATTTGGGCTAAAACAGATCAGAAATAAATTCTAAAACAGTTACATATTATTTATGTTATAAAGAATAAATGTGGACCATTACACAAGCTAGAGGCTATGCAGTCACTGGGGCATATCTCCAGCACTTGATTTAACATTCTAAACAGCCAGTCAGCACACATGTTGTTCCAGCCTTTACTTTGGTTGCTTCTGCAGCTGCTGCACTTTGACTGCTCAATGCTGCTGTAACTACTGCAGTGTTAGTCAAAGAAAAAAATCTATATCTCAGGCAGATCCAGAATATAACAAACCACCTACATTTCTTTGTTAGGAAAATTATTAATGCTTCATTTACTGGAGGAATGCAATACAGATGCTTTGTAATATATACAGGAGATAAACTGTGCTTAGACTGAGTCTGCCAAGACATCTGAAACTTTTTATGTTTAGCATGAAAGTGATATCAACAAATACAGACAAGTGAACAAATTACTCATAGTATGCCAAATATCTAAAGTGTCATTATCGTCTCAAGCTGGAGGCCTCAAGACAGATGCCAAGCTGCATTACATTTGTTGATAAGCATTTCATGCTTGAACTTTAATATGGACAAAAATGCTGGGAGAGCAGGGGTCTAGTATCCTGGGTGAGGGTGGCGCGCCACTGGGCCCATGCTCGTGTGGGACCATGTGTTTACCTGCTGGGCCCCCTGGAAGGCATGGTAGTAGCAAGACACGTAGGTCATGATGGCGCGCTCATCAGCTTTGGGGGTATTCACCAGATCTGAAAACACCCCCATTGTATTTATTACTACATCACTACTGTCATGTGTTTAAGGGTAGTATCAGCACGTCAACTGGGATCCTTCATTAACTTCCGATGTTAGTTCAGCCAGTAATTATTAAAGAAGAGACATCTGAAAGAAGAGCATCAGCTGGCTGTCTGCACTGTAGAATTATCTGTGCAAAAGTTGTGAATTGTAAAATTAATGATGATAATAAAAAGACACCATTAAATATACTAATATATTAATGAAAAAGATTCTATATATTGGTAACAACCTAATACTGCTATGGTAAAGCACTTACCATCTGGGTCCAACATCCTAGGGATGTCAAGATGCTTCTCAGCAATGTCGAAGGCAAGGTTAAGGTTGTGGAGGGGATCATCCTTGGACAGCTGAGAGTAGTCCAGCAGGTCGGGCCTGTGACGGTGGATGAGGGCACAGAATGCAAGACCATCCTGAAGGGAAAGTAAGTGTCAGTAAGGAAAAGGCATGGGAAAACAAATTTTTGGGAATATTTTTTTTATAAAGATATCAAATTTAATTTACTAGTTAACTTACTCTGTATGGTACAATTTAAATGATAGCATATTAATGCAATATAAATTTATGGCATATTAATGCAATATAAAGAGGATTACTATTATGTGAAATCAATAAATAAACAAGTGGCGATGAGTCACAATAACGTAACTAAATTATGTTGACCAGACCACACACTAGAAGGTGAAGGGACGACGACGTTTCTGTCCGTCCTGGACCATTCTCAAGTCGATTGTGAGAATGGTCCGACTCAAGGCAATCGGCTTGAGAATGGTCCAGGACGGACCGAAACGTCGTCGTCCCTTCACCGTCTAGTGTGTGGTCTGGTCAACAATCAATAAATAAACAAATTTGAAACCTTGAAGGACGTATGGAAGTTCTGCACGTTGACATTCTTGTAGGGGGCAGTCTTGCGCTGGCACCACAGCAGGAGACCTTCCTTTGCAGTCATCTCCTCTACGCTGATGTCCTGGATGGCGAACCTCAGAATAATTGTCCAAATCATACCTAACGTCATCTTAAGGTTGCCATCAACAATTTCTGCAACAATAATGTTAATGTGTTTACATAACAGCATTAATCATATTAACCGTTAATAATTTAAATAAGTTCATGCTGCAACTTTCTTAATATTATTATTATTTTTTTTTTTGAGTACTACTGTATAATGTTATAAAGAATAAATGTGGACCATTACATAAGCTAGAGACTATACTGTGAAAAAATTATGGCAAGTGATACAAACACACTTTACACATTTTTAGGCTTGATAATAAAATTACAAATTAAGTTTTAAGGTAAAGTTACCAGTCTTCAAAAACAAGTTTTAAGCAAAAGTTATATTGTGAATAAAAAGAAGAGGAAACCATTTTATAAAATAACACTAGAATTTACCCGAGGGCCACTAACACTAGAAGCCTCAATGAGAACAGGAAGCCGGTGGCTTGTCGCAGGTACCCCCATTTGCCTTGTCTTTTTCAGTTGGATTTGAAATCCAACTAGAAAAATTTTAATTCAGGGAATTTCCATTTTAATTTCTTTAAATTTAACTTTAAATTTCAATTTAAAGAATGGATAATGTACCATTAACCTCTCTGATTTCTTGGAGGATCACAACTTTTGGGTTGCTGTAATGGCATGCATTATCCTCCTCTCACTTGATCCACAAAGGCATTTTGCAACTCTCTCTCCTCTTGGACATGCCTTTTTGGCCAGGAGTAATCCCATTCCTATATGCAGGTAACATGATGCTAGTGGGTGCCCTTAATAAAGGTGCAAGATTGTCTAATGGACATGATACAATCTTTCATATATTGTTCCAGGGGCCTTACAATTAGCCACATCAAGAGCCATGTGATGAACTTCTTCAAGAAGCAATTGGTGGCCCTCTCCTCCATCCTGTTCCACAGCAACCTGCTAGTCCTCATCACATCCCACAAGTGCCTTGGCATGTTTCTGCAGCCTAACTGTAACGTAGACACCTCACATTGAGTAATATAGTGTACTGAGTTACATCAGGGAGGAAGGATGCCAGCAGGTGAACATTTATGAAGCACATTATATTGTCATTCCAAGCTGTTGCTCCAAGGAGCTTGTTGCTAGACAACAGGCAAAAAGGAGCTTGTTGGACTAAGCTCTCAAGTCAAACCAGGCCTCAGGCTGGGTTGGAGAGAAGAACAACTCTCAAAACCTTATCCAGGTACAATTCAAGTACATCTCCAGGTTGTCCTGGGGTGCATTCCATGATTCACTGATGTGTTTCAATGATGGCTTTGTCAGTGTTAAGTTCCACTTTGGGAGTTGGGCTTAAGGCTCAGCAAGTCTCTCAACCCTCTGAAACTACCTCTTCCATCATGCAGCGCTGTGTATTGCATTCTGGGGATCTTATCATCCACCCAGAGTCCTCCTTTTTACACAGTCATGGGGCCTGCTCCTGCATGTCTGCAGCAGCTTGATGCCTGGAGATTACTCCTTTGTATGTCTTCTCTTACCCAGGACCACTCCCTTCCTATTCTGCACCAGCACTCTTGATTTGTATGTGGGTTTCTTTGCAATGTTCACAAATGGCTCTTTCACATCCTCTCCACTGTAAACTTCAACAGCAGTTTAATTTGGCCCCATATCCCTTTGTTAGAATTGGTGTGTGTCGCATGATGATACCAGCCTGGCTGAGGAATCATTCACGATCTGGAAGACCCTCAATTTCCTTAATTTCACCACTTCATTGTACAATTCTATCTGTGCTGACTCCAAGTCAGAATGCCACTTTATGTCTTACTCCTCATATCATCATTTGATTCAGGAAGATTTCTCTCCAGTGGGTTGCATCACACCTTGGTGTCTGGGGTAATGAAATGGCTGATGTGGCACCTTCATGGACTCTCACTCAGGGTTGACTTGCATCCCTGCATTTTTAGACGGTGAAGGTTCATGTGGTCTTCCATCAGGCATGTACCACAAATTGGAAGGCAGAACTTGAGCTCCTTATTCAGGGCACATTCCTGGCACTGACCTAGAGCCTGCCTCCAACACCCCTAGATACCAAACATCCAGAACCATGCACAAAAATATTATTCTAGTGTTATCTAAAAGTATAGAAATGAATGGAGATAATAATACAGATGGTTAAACTTGCAAAATACTCTTACAAATGGGTCTTTACCATCTGGAGATTAGTGCAAAAGGTGTCCAAACACTTGGATGTGTGAGGAAGCCTTGAATGGTGAAATTTTTTTTTTACTATCTATATAGCCGCTATATAGTCATAATTGGTTGGTGCTTTTCCCTGATAATTCCCCTATATAGCCATTGCAAGTATATTCCATTTCTGTATCATTATACACATAGATCAACATCTTTCTGATTTATTTCATAACTTTTGCAACAAACCTAATATTTTTTGTTATGAAAAGAAAAGCCAATAACCTGGGTCCTTGAGTATGTCTGTGATCCCTAAGTATCACCTTCTTTGCATTCATTTGTTCACCACCTCCACACCTTTAGTAAATTTGTTGTCTATTTTGTGATGTTTGCCTGAAATGCTTTGCATAATAGTGGCTTCATAGATTGTGTAGCTCCTGTTCATACATTTGAACATTACTCTGTGTTCTTTGTGCACACATTCTTTTGAATAAACACCGAATTGAAACAAAAATTGAAACCTTTTTAAGTGTCTAGAGACCAGCCAATTTTCAATAATGAAAATATAATTGTATTTACAGAATATCTGGTAAAAATACAAGGAATTAAAGCTTGACAATGCAAATTCTGCCAGGTATACCATTATGAACCTAAGCCTTTAAAGTTAACACATACACTTGCAATTAACACGCACCTTCAGCACCAATAGATACCAGCTTTACCCCCTTGCTGGCAATGAAGTCAAGAGCCTTGTTCACATTGGCAATCTTGTGGAACCTCATCTTGCCTCGGTCGGGTTTTGGGAGGGTCTCACCAGAGATGACCTGCAAGACAACACTCATCAATAGCCCCCACCAATCATTATACATTCCATATCAACACTACTCTGAAATCAATTATAATGTCTATGAATAATATTTATATTGCATTGGTTTATTCAACTGAGGTAGAACACTCTTTGCCCACTCACACACTACCCAAGTGTACACAAGCCAATTGTTAACAAAGCAATACCCATACAATGTGTGTGGTAGAGGCAGACTCCATACACATTTTCAAATGTAAATATGATAAAAGCCCAATAGACTCGGGAATCTGCACACCAATTGACTGACAGTTGAGAGGCAGGACCAATAGCCGAAGCTCAACCCCCACAAGCACAACTAAGTGAGTACAAGTCAGTCAGGGAGGGGAGGGTGGGCCCCCCCACTCCACATGTTAAGTTATGGGATCCCTTTCCCAAAACAAACAAACAAAAACACACATTCCACTTCAACTGATATTTCAGACATTTTTAAGTATAAAAATCTGTGCAGATAATATATATGGAAAAGGCAAACATAGTTCCAATCTACAGAATTGGGAGAAGAGAAGACCCTCTAAATTATAGCCTCATATCATTGACAAACATGATGATCAATACACTAGAAAAAATTATTAAAACCAAATGGGCAGAATACCTGGTGAGATGTGATACAATAAGACACAGTTTGGCTTTCAAATAGGAAGATATTGTTTAACACATCTAAGTTTTTATGATAGAGCCTGGTGCAGAGTGCATGGGCATGCTGTCTAGGGCTACTTCAAAGTTCAGTGGGGTTAGGGTGACATCTGATATATGGTTCAATTTTGATGTAACATTCATGAAGAATTTATTTGGATCATTGATCTTCAATGCTTTCAGGGGTTACTGAAAACAGAACTGCACTGAAGCCTCCTACCCCCACCTAATTATCAAATTCTTTAGTCACAAAACAAAACGATCTACGGTTACCGGAAGGAATATAGAACTGTATAAACATGTTTGCAGATGATGCTAAGCTACCAGGGAACATAAGTGACTTCAACTATTGCCATGCCCTTCAAGATGACCTGCACGATGCCATGCCCTTCAAGATGACCTACACGAAATAAGTGTATGGAGCAACATGGGGGGAAATAGAAATCATTGTGAATAAATGACATGTTATGGAATGTGCAATATGAGATAAAATGCCACACACAACCTACAAATTATGTGGGAAGGCATTAAAGAACTCTGACTATCTATGGGGTGGTTCTGGACAGTAGACTGTCACCAGAAGAAAGCATAAAGACAATGCGTGAGGAGCATATGCCACACTTTCCAACTTCAGAATCATTTTTTAAATACATGGATGGTGAAATACCTGTAGCAATTATATTAATTAAGCATAATATAATTGCTCCAAAAACTCAGAAGTTTCAGTGCAGATAATTACAAGTGCCTGTTAATTCCACATTACAAGAAGTCCTACACTAATCGAAGACTAAACCACACATCAGAAGATGAGAAGACGACGACGTTTTGGTCTGCCCTGGACCATTAACAAGTCGATTGTGATGTAAGCAAGTGGTGGTGGTTGTTTTAGATTCAGCTACTTAGATTTGGCTATGGTGAGCCCATAATGTGAGCAAAGGAGGCACGGGGCATTAAGTAAGGCAAGAGAGAGGTGAGGAGGAATAAATTCCTAGAGGAAGGCAAGAGCAAGGCAAATAGTACGAATGGGATGGGTGTAATAAAGGAGTACAAGAAGGGGGTAATAATGAGTATAAGAATTAGAACGAAGGAATAAGAGAAAAAAGAAAAAAGGATGGGTAGGCTTTTGTTAGGTCACGTTTGTTAGAAAGGTTAGAGCATTTGAGTCTGTACTGTGAAAGGTAAGAGTCAACATCAACAAAGCCAGGACTCGGGTTCATGTTGTATCAGAACTGATTCGACAAGACGACGTCTGTGTAGAGTAGAGGCAGGAAAGATTATTTTAGAAGACCAATCAATAGGATGATTAGAACCCCTAACATGACAGAAGAGTGCATTGTTTGTGTCTGCAGACTTAACACTTCTTCTAAGTTTCTTATGTCTGTCATTTAGTGTACGGCCAGTTTCCACAAAGTACTGAAGAGGGAAAGACGAACAGGAAATAAGAGTATACACCAGAAGCATTAGAAGCAGGAGCAGCAGTGTGAACCAGATTACTATGAAAAGTGTTAGTTTGTCAAAAGGCAAGCTGTATTATGTCAAGATAACGAAGGGTATTAGTGAGTTTTTTGAGTTCAGATATTTAGGGAAGGCAGAGCACAGTCGTACTAGTGTTTGAAACATGTTTGGGATGAACGAAATTTCATTTAGCCGTGGGGTCTTGCGACAAAACCGGGCTGCCTTAAAATTTTGACTGGGCCGTGAGGTCACTGAGCCCCGAAATCACCTCAAGGTAACCTTAAGGTAAGGTAGCTTGAGAATAGGCACAGTTGATAAAATGTAAGGGGTAACCAAGGCAAGAGGAAGATTTGTAAATACTGTAAATGAAATTTCCGAATCAATAAACTGAGGGTCACCGATAAGCATGGAGTTAGAGATGAGAACACTATTCTTAACAGAAGGAGGATGGTAGGAAAAGAAGTGAATGTACATACCACTATGAATGGGTTTGCGGTAGACAGAGAAAAAGAAACTGAACAGAGCTGTGAATATGAACGTCAAGAAAAGGAAAGAGGGAATTAATTAGATTTCCATTTAACTTTGAAATGGATAGAAGGAGCCAGATTGTTAAGAGAGGAGAGGAAAGGCTGGAAAAGACAGGTCATGAGGCCATAAAGCAACAAGTCATCAACATAGCGAAGCCAGAGAGAGGGACAAGTATCAATAGTGGGAAGAAGAACGGTTTCGAAATATTCCATGTACAGAATGGTAAGAACGGGTGAGAGGAGAACCCATAGCAACACCAAAAGTTTGAGAAGTATTTTCCGTTGAAAGAGGAGTTTGAGTCAACACAAAGTCTAACGAGTTCAAGGAAAAATGTCAGTTGGGAGCGGGAAATGAAGAAGTTCCTCAGTTGCCTTATGACTAAGGAAAGAGATCATCATCAAGGGAAACATTAGTAAACAGAGTTGACATCAAAACTAAGCATCTTACAGGAGGTCTGCAGGCGCAGTCTATGAAGTCCTGAGAATGACGAAAGTGAGCAGGACTAAAAGCACAAAGATAAGGAGTCAGAGTTTTAGCAAGCCAGGAGGCAAGAGGATAGCTGACAGAGCCCCTTGAAGAAATGATAGGACAAAGAGGAATACCAGATTTTTGAGTTTAAGGTAGACCATAGAAATAAGGAAGAGGAAGGGCAAATGACAAAGAAATGTTTTATTAGATCTACATTTAGGTTGTAGCAACTATATTAACAAGTAATATACTTGCTCCATATCCTCATTAGCTTAAGCACAGATAATGAGATGGGTCTGTTAATTCTACATAACCTTTCTCCAAGTGTTCCACATTCCTAGATGCTCTACACTAATTCTTGGCCTGCTAATTACAATTCTCAAGTGTACAACTAATTACAGTTAATAACTCTTACCAACCTGATAGATGATAGTCAGTTTGGCAAGGTCAGATGGAAGCTTATAATATATGCTGTCGACAGCACATCATCATCACAGACAGTTACAGCCCCGCTAATCTCTGTCTTATCACCAAACATGTAAACATATGTTACAAGGTAATCAATCAAACAACCAACCAATTAACCAATCAACCAATCAATCAATCACTCACACACACTCACCTCGAGGAGCAACATAAGTTTGAGGCCATTGCGGAATTCTTCCTCGATGCTCTCGATGAGGGTGCCCGCCTTCCGGAGGTGGGAGTTGCACCAGGCAGTAAATGTCTGTGGAAGAGAACAAACATTACATCAGCATACTCCACAATGTAATCACCACAACATCAATATATAAATAAATATTAAGACAGCTAAGAAATCAAACCCGCATTCCTGAACTCCTCAAATCTATCATCGTCCTGTAGGTCAATCTTTTCAAGGACAAGAACTTTCCACACTAGAGATGCTATACCGATGATGATACTTTTCAAGACGCTAGTGCTCTCTAGAGTGGAATACTGCTGTACAATGACAGCCCCTTTCAAAGCTGGAGAAATTGCTGACCTGGAGAGCATGCAGAGATCCTTTACTGCCAGAATCCACTCAGTAAAACATCTTAACTATTGGGACCGACTAAAGAGCCTAAATCTGTATTCTCTTGAGCGCAGGTGGGAGAGATACATAATAATTTACACATGGAAAATAGTAGAAGGGCTGGTCCTAAACCTGCACACAGAAATAACACCACATGAGACCAGAAGGCAAGGCAGGATGTGCAGAATACCCCGTTGAAGAGCAGAAGTGCAACAGATACTCTGAGAGAACTCAATCAACATCAGAAGCCCGAGACTGTTCAACACGCTTCCACTACACATAAGGGGCATAACTGGCCGACACCTCACAGTGTTCAAGAGAGAATTGGATAAACACCTCCAAAGGACACCTGATCAACCAGGCTGTGATTCATCCGTCAGGCTGCGGGCAGCCGCGTCCAACAGCCTGGTTGACCGAACCCGTAATGAGGAGGCCTGGGCGATGACCGGGCCGCGGGGACGCTAAGCCCCGAAATCAACACAAGGTAAGGTAGTGAGTGCACCTGACAAGTTCAGGGTCACAAGATCGACTCCATTAAACACTCAATATTTATCATTGTCACACTAATTCAATTTTGTTGAACTCATGATAAAATTAGCAATAGCCACAAAAATAATACAAAATTAATACAGTGCTGGCTTAAAGACTTCTGGACACGTTTCCTGATGCCTGTATTAGTGTAGCAGTAAATAGGTACCTGGGAGTTAAGCAACTGTTGTGGGTCGCATCTGGTTGATACCCGCTTGATGGGGTTCTGGGAGTTCTTCTACTCCCCAAGCCCGGCCCAAGGCCAGGCTCGACTTGTGAGAGTTTGGTCCACCAGGCTGTTGCTTTGTAACAACCAAGCTGTTGTAGGCATGACCCAGAATGTTCGAGAAACGACGGGTAGGGACCTGACCCCAAGCACATGGTCGCACCCCCTGGGGCGGTGGCGGTGAAAATAATTGGCGCCTTTGTTCACAGTTTCGTATAATGAATTATGTTACAGAATTCACTTATTTAGAGAAATTAGTCTTCATTCAAATTGTATAAGATTCCTGTTTATAGTATCAAGAATATCTTGAGTGTTAGAAGAATGAGTTAAGTCACCATCAGTGACGTCACGAGCCGAGACTAGACTGGGCGGCGGAGTGACCTGAGGTCACAGGTTATCAGAGTTTCCACGTCCACTATTTCTCAAAGGACAAATAGCCATTTTGTAATCGGGAATAGCCCTTCCCCAAGATGCTTGTGTAATTAACTTCAGTTAAAATAATTCAACCAATCTGAATCAGTCAGTACAACAGAGATGAGTTGTTTAACTTAAGCCTTGCTAGCAACTTGGTAAACTAGGCGGAAGGACACAGATCTGGGCGTCTGGGTAGAGAAGCATGTGGGAAGGAGAGTGTGGGATCCGGAGCAACACAGGGAAGGTGTCCACTCCACCTCTTCCCAAGACCTTAGCACTAACATCTAGCTGGTCGCCAAAAAGGTAGAGTTGCTGTAAGAGTTGTTATAGGGAATAAGTCAACTCATTGCCAATAAGGTCAGGGCGTGATAAGTTTAGGGAGTGCATTGATTTAGATTTTGTTTAGTTTTTGAATAAACCATTTAGCTATTAAATTGTCTTTTGTATTAATTTCTATTTTATGTAATTTATATGTATATTGTCCAGCACCACGTGGGTAGCTCAGAGGCTGAGTCGAGTTGGGCGCCGATTCTAACACTGAATCAGAATTCATTATTCCCTTTGATTGTTAATTAATTCCACACTTACGGATATCCAAGTCATATCCAAGTTGCCCTTGTGGATTTGTTCATTTGATGCATCACATTAGTGTGATCTCTGTGTGTGATCCAAGTCACATATTACTAGTGGGGATCAAGCCCCAAAGTTTATTGATTAGCATGATCGATCCAGACCTCGGTCATTGCTCAGTGTTACTGGTCTGGTAGTGGCAGCGCAAGGCGATCCTAGGGTTTTGCTAGAAGTCGGTTTCCACGTCATAAGGTTGTAGAATCTTAAGTCGGTCAATCGTCTTAAGACCACGTAGCGTGGGGTCGGCTCAAGTAAAAGTTTTGGGGTCCCTTGGTAGAGAGTTTAATAAAGTAGAATACGGGGTAGAGAGACCGAAATACGATACGAATACCCACCCCCGTGTTACAATAGTGGCAGCGGTGGGATGGGTATTCGTATCGTATTTCGGTCTCTCTACCCCGTATTCTACTTTATGCCGGAGCAACCGTTGACATCTTCAAGAGAAAACTAGATAGTTTTATCCAAGGAGTGCCAGACCAACCGGGCTGTGTTGAATATGTGGGCCTGCGGGCTGCTCCGACAACAGCCTGGTGGACCAAGCTCTCACAACTCAAGCCTGGCCTTGGGCCGGGCTTGGGGAGTAGAACTCCCAGAACCCCATCAAGCAGGTATCGTCCTGGACAGAGAATATTCAAAAGTTGGGAATATTATTTAATGAATTATAAATCGTTGCTTTAAAAGTTTATATGCATCAAAATTCAAATTACCTTTCTTTGGATGGTGGGATACAAGTACAAAAATTGCATTTGTATTACTTGTATAGCTGCATTTCTGCAACTAGCCTAGATTATATGAAAGGTTAACGAGTTGACATGAAAGTATGTGATTATCTGACACGATGGTTAGACATGAGGAGCACGAGACCAGTAGCCTGCACCGGCACACTTGGGCTGCATCACCACCATACCCTCAAGAACACTCAAGTGGATGAAGCAGTTGTCAAGCTCCAGGTACGTCATAACCGGCAGGACTGAAGGACATAAATACTGGATATATTATAATGCACTGTATGAGATCATGACGCAGTTCCTGCTCACAGAGCGTACATAACATATGAAGTGCTCAGCATTAGAGTGGTCACCTACAGCCACCTGCCAGAGGTAACAGTAGCCCAGTCTCATCCTGGCAATTACTATGTCTCGCTGACCTTCTGTGCTCTCCATATATGTAGCTATTAAATCTAAACTCAAAATTTTGTATACTAGTGTTTTCAGGTCTTTGAGAGTGCAATTAATCTCCTATCAGACCTGACTGTTTAGAGCAATATAGTCTTAACAATAGGGATACCAAGGTCTAACTCAACCTCATCATTTTTGCACGGTAATTTGGTTATGTCTGTCTCTCATTATGATGAGTTATATTTGGCATACAGCATTTTTTTTATTAATACAAGAGGTACATCTGCATTAGTGCAGCTACCCTAGACTATATGAAGTGGAGTACAGTGTGTCAAAAAAGCTAACCAGGTGATGCTAAAAAATCCCCATCACACAGGATGGTTAGTCATACCGTGATGGTTAGACTGCATGTGATAGGCAGACTCCGGATGCATTTTGAGGATATCATCAACACAAGAGTGAATAAGGTAGCAGTGGTAATAAAAGTCCCCATCTCGCAGGATGGTTAGTCATACAGAGCCATGTGTTTAGTAGCTTGCACTGGCAAATTTTGGGTACACTGTGAGAATATCTTCAAGAATACAAGAGTGAATAAAGTAATTACAAAGCTCCAGGTACCTCATGCCAACTGGTCTGAAAGGTCTAATAACTGGGCATTCGGTGATGTAGTGTGGGGGATCGTGCCACAGTTCATGCTCACAGAGTTTGCAACTGGAGTGCTTAGGATTGGGAGATCCGTCACCTGCAGCCACCTGCCACAGGTAACAGTAACCCAACCTGATCCTTGTAACCACTGTGTCGCACAGTCTGGTGGACGTTTTGCGATGCCCATAGATATAGGTTTCAGATCTGAACAAATCATAGCTTTTTATACTAGTACTTTCAGGTCGTTGGGAGTCAGTAATTTCTTTCCTATCAGACCTGAGTGTTTGGACCAATACAGTTTTGACAGCAGAGATGGGGATACCTAGATCTAATTCAACTTCATCTTTGTTGTACGCTAATTTGGCTGCAATGTCTGACTCATTATGATGGGTTATATTTATGTGTGAAGGTATCCATACAAAGGAGATTCGAGACCCTTTATTCTGTGCAGCAATTAGGTCATTTATAATTGGTAGTATGAGGTTCTTGCTGTCGATCTTCCAGGAAAAGTTTTCAATTGCTTGAAGAGCAGATTTCGAATCACAAAATATTATTCCTCCTCCAATGTTTTTTAATGTACTGGTAGCTAGTTGTAATGCTCCTAGTTCTACTTGTGTGGAGGTCAGCCAGTTGTTTAACCTGACACTGACAGTCTTTGTGCAAATATTATTTCTATAAAACCTACATGCTGCTCCAGTCTGTCCAGTAGAAGATTGGACTGAGCCGTCGGTGTAGACACAGTGCTCGTGAGATCTTAAATTCTCGATGGAGGAGGCAATTGTTTCGAGTGTGACAGCTTTGGGAAGAGCAAGATTCTCATTATCTTTCTTGGTGACAGGTGTGTATGATACTTTAATGGTGGAGTACAGATAAAGAGGAATATCAGAGACAGGTAGAGTGCACTTAAAAGGAATGTTGAGTTTAATGAGATAGTAGGCATTGTTGCTCAGCCATTTATCATAAAAGGAGTGAGTTGATATGTCGGCACCAGTTAATAGGGTGTTAACAGCACTAAATAATTTGTCTCTGAGCAATGCAGGAGATGTAGGGTCTCTCATGAGTTTAAGGCAAAAGATAGTGTTGACTTGCATGATTCTCTCTAGAATGGTTGGAAGCTTCAGTTCTTCCCTCAT